TACTGTCACTGAGATTTTTTTAAGAGAGAAGAACTCCCTGAATAGAGGAAAAAAATGAAGAATATTTAGTTGTTGACAAAAAATAATAAAAGCGACTATGTATTGAATAAAATTTAGGGTGAATTGAGTGATGGTTAAATTGTAAGAATTAAAAATTGAAATGAATGAAGGATGAAACCTCAAACCGATCACGAATGAATCCTAATATATGTAGAACCGATATGGCTCTAATCTATTAGGGATTCAATCTAAAGAGTCTGACATTTTTATACTGTATTCATCTTTGGAAAAAAGGAAAGTCATACCTAGAGCATGAACGTGATGTGCCAAACACATGTTAGGACAGTCTTTTGGATTCACCTTGCCCTTTAGCTTGCTCATCATGTCTTTGGGGATCACGCCAAGATCACATGAAGTATATAGAAGAACTTCGATGAGTTTATCTTACACCATAAGACTTTTTCTCTCACTGTCACTTTCTCTAATCGAGGTGCTCTCTTTTTTTTTTCCTTCGTAGAACCTACCTCGTCAGAAGAATTTGACTTTTAGGTGGGAAACGAATATCAAGAAAGAGCAATGGATGAAAGTAGCTTGATCCCAAAGAAAAAAGAACGAGGTGAAAACCCCTCATGAGAGGATGAAATATCCAAAATAATAATTAAGGGGGGAGAGTAAAAGCGGTAGGAGGTGAAAAAAATCGAACCCCAGAAGGAAGAACGATTGGAGAGGAAAGAAGATTGGTCATAAAAGATGGACTGACCTGAAAAACAAAGAAACCGTTTTAAAACTTGCTCACCTTTTGCTTGAGCATTTTTTTCATTGCACTGCTACTTTTCTTCGGACATCAAGTTAAACCAATAAGCCGTCTTTGCATAATTGCAACCCTCAATAATAAGGAGGATTAGGTCATCATCCCACTACCCTTACTGATCTCCTCTGGGCTCTATCTTATAACTCTCAACCTTTTAAAAACTCATACTATAGGACATGGTTAGAAATACGTACCGAAATGAATGTAAAAAAAACTTTGAAATTTAGAAAGTTATTAAGATTGAAAATTTTAAGTCAGATTGAGAGCAAAAATAGTAAAATATGAAAAATTGAAACTCTACTAGCCCTTTATATAGACATGCCGCAGACCAGATGGACGACATGTTATGTGCCATGTGTCAAAGCACAGCAAAGAATATGTCTTTTTGCTTTAAATTTTTTAGCTCAAACCACTTTTTTCTTCATTTAATGCTGTCAAACCAGCCTAACTAGACGAATCCCAGGTTGGACCATCTAAATTGGACAACCGTCAGGGGTAAACCGAGAGCTCGATTCACCTTAAAGGTCTAAAACAAAGGCCCAAATCCAAATTTTTGAAAGAAAACACAAGTCTTACCATGGCCAAATGAAGTCCAACACTAATCTCGAATCACCCTAAACAATTATCACCTTAGCAAACTTTAAACCGATTATGCACTCAATCCAAAACATACACGCGAGATCGGATAGCCATTAAGTCAGATCATGGCTCAAAGCTAGTCATCATCCAAAATTGACATCCCTCTGTAACGTCAGCCTTTGATGAACCAAGCTACCAGTCTATTCTTTCAACCAATTTGTCCCACACCAAGGATGTCAATTATAATTTTGGTGATCTGATATTCAGATCACCTGGTGGGGGACAGAGTGTTACAGGGACATTTGATGGTCAAATGGGTATAGTTATCTTTTTTTTTCTCAGAGCCTTCAAAAGATAATCAGGGATATCTTGATCATTTGTACTGACCTAACATGTTAGGTCGGCCGACATGGTTAGTGCCACCTCAGCTCGACCTTTCCTAATTATCCCCTTATAATCCCCATCAACTTATCTATAAATATAAAGACTAAAGCACCATGAAGGCAAGTTCATCCTATTCACTTCTCTCTTTTTTACCTACTTTCTTACCGACCTGATCTTTATTGACTTGTGCATCAAAGTGCAAACGTAGGAAACACCCCTTGCCTTTGCCTTTAACCATTATTCTCTTCTATATTAACAAGAATACCCTCAGGTTAGAGCTCGGTACCAACAATAACCTTCTTCCATTTTTTCTACCTTAATAAAATAATAAAAAATAGCACTCTCGAATTCTGCTAGCAAACAGTGTGAATGTTTTGATTTTTCTTAGTGTTCAAATGCACAAAATTGAAGCAATATCGCCCCCTAGGGTACTTTGACAAAGGAAAAAAATTATAAATATTTGTGAAAAATGCCAAAGAAATGCAAAACCCATGTATATGTAGATTGGTAATTTATGTATTAGTACCATATAAACTATTGATAATACATGTATTCGTATATATTGTATTTCATACAAAAATTACGTGTGACAATAAAAATCAACACAAAAATACGAAATAAATTTTTTTGTTTTTACTAAACTCATAGCTTGTATATGATATTTCTTAAAATTTAAATTATGTCACTTTTTTTTATCATTTTCATGTTGTATAATCGTACTATATTTTGAATTGATAGATCCTACGTGTCTCTTTATCATAAAAACTTGCATTATCTTATAAGTAAGGTTAAAATAGTGATAAATAAATTAATGGTTAAAATATTGATAAATAAATTAATAAACTATTAGGTTAATTTAGGGCTGGTAATAGGTGAACTATGGATAGGGTAGAGCATTCTTCATCCCTATCCCTAGATTTTTATATTATATCTATCTCAGTGCTCATACCCAACAGGTATTTAAATTTATTCCTATCCTTATCATCATGGTTATTTAATCAATATTAATAATCTCCGTACCCATAACTCTGAAAAAAAACTAAAAATTAAATTTTTTTATTTTTATCTTATATATTTAGGTAATTTTTTATAAATATATATATTAATATATATTTTTTCAACAAAAACATATTAATTTTAATTAATCTAAAATAATAATATATATTATTTAATAAAAATTTTATATACTAAATATATATAAATATATATGTAGAGTTGGGTACAATGTAATTGCTATATTACCCATCCCCATCCCTATATCCAATAAAAATTTAAAATTATACTCTTCTCAATCACCATACTCAAAATGTAATACCCATTCACATTCATATTCAAATAAAAAATTAATTTTTTATTAGGTATTGGTAAAATTTACATTCTTATATTTATTCACTTTGTTCATACAACTATCTTTAAAAGTTGATATTAAATAAATTTAAGATTCAAATCTAATCATACACAACCTCTTTATTATTTTTTAATTACGATCTCATATATAAAAATTAATAAATTAATTAATTATTAAGCAAACAAATGAGAATTAATTATTTTTGTAAAATATAAATAGAAGCAATGTTATTTTATTAAATTTGACAATTAAATAATATTTGTTTTTGTAATTTAAATGATATAATTATAATAAAATAAAAAATTATAATTTAATTTCATGCAATAAAAATATCAAATAATTTTTTTTTCTTAGCCAAAATCATTACTGCTGGCACTATTCCAGCATCTGCATACTATCTGCTTGCAACAATCTCATCAGTTACAACCAATCCTCATTTCCATTCGGCCATATATTTTCTATCTTCCTAACATCACATAGTTCCAATTTTGTTTCCTATAATAACACCATTTCCACATTGATTTCCCTTATCATTCTTCTTACTGTTTGCATCTTCATCTCTCCCGGAATACTTGTAATGTTCCACGAAACAATTCTCATCTCTGATGCACACTTTCCAACACCTATTGCTAAAAAATCCCAACAGTAAGCCTCAACCAAATTTCAGAATCTAATTAAGATTTATTCTTCCCCTTTCTCCTTTAATAATTCTTAAAATTTTTCCCCCTATCACCAATCTACAAAAATAAAATACAATTGAAATTGAAAAGTTTGGGCTTGAGAGTTTACCCTCCTATCTGCCTTATACTGCCCTTTGTTTCTGAGGTAGTTGCTCCATTTGTTGCAACTTCCTGATCACCTCTTCGTTTCCCAACGCTGAGATTCCACGTTGCCTTCCCACATCCCAGTTTGCCTCTGCTTCCTTGCGCAAATCTTCGTCTACGATTCCATTTACCCCGTGCCCTGTTACAATTGATGAAATCTCCATCTGACATAGATTCGTTCACCACACGGTCTTCAATCCTTTGTCGACTTCCAATCACTTTCCCCTTACAGCTTTCTTTCCCTATTTTCCTTCCTCTTGTTTATCCTTCCAGACAATTTCTCTTTAATTTCTTCGTAAGATCTCCATTTCTTGGCTCCCGGCAAGGCTTCACTATTCCTACTGATCACGTTTGTCTCTTCTATATCTGTATTAACATTTAGATTATACTAGGCCAGCCCATTAGATAAATTAGAAAGGCCCACACGTTCCATACTCCTTATAATTTCTTCCCTTTCAGGATTCGCCGCGTCTGACATTTCTAACCCCTCATCTCTATTACTTGTAACCCCCTTATCATTACTCTGGTCCATGGTATAATTATTTTTCGAGCTTCCCTCCACCAATTTTGAGGGCTGAGTTTTAATTACTTTTTTTTTTTTTTTTTTACCATTCTCCATTCCTTTCTCTTGTATCTTTTTTCTTCTCTACCAGCATACCGGTTCCCGAGGTAGGCTCCAAAGTACTAGGTTTTTTTATTGTTCCTGTCCCCTACCTGCTTCATTTCCTCTCTTTTTTTTTTGCCTACACTTGACTCTTCGACTTCCTCAAAAATTTCTTCTTCTTTCTCTTGTTTGCTTTCCTCCTAGCATCTTCTTCGAGCTTGACTGATTTCATCCTGCCATTTCTCTGTACTTTTGTCACCTTTTTTTTTTATTTTCTGATATAACAACCGGATATACTAATTCTCCCACTTTCAAGTGGATTCTACCTTCTATCTCTGTTATTAACTTGGTAATGATGTACATGTGGCTTCCATTAAAAGGCTACAATTTCAATGAATCATTATCCATGCAAATGAAATCTCCAAACCCTTGCGCAATGCATTGAGATGTCTATATGCACCGTGCATGAAAAGGGATCCCATAGCAGGTTACCCATGCACCTCTTTTACTGGAAGTGGACTTCTCAGACCGTATCTCAACCCTTTTGAACCAACTGGATAGTACGTTCCAATTCTTCACCATCATGAATTCAAACGATTCCTCATCTTCAAATGTGATCAGAAATGAATAATCTGATAATCTCCTTATGATTACTTCCTTTCCTATTTTTCGTTTTATCTCCAGTAAATCATCCTCTTCAAAATATTCCTTACAAAAACCTATAGCACTTCTCTCCAACCAATGAAGCACCTCATCGTCCACCCTGGCAATATATTCTATTACCTCCCTCTCACCTGTTAACTGGGCTAAATCATTTAGTTCTGTAGTTTTGGATACCTCTACTCCATTGTTATTTTCCTCTACCAATGCTTGTAGTTTGGTTCTTCTTGTATTGTTCCTATCAATTTGTCTTGTTGTATCATTATCGTTTCTGCTACTGTCGTCCTGAACCTCCCTGATTTGCTTTTGTGTACTAACTTCCATCTTCCTTATCCCTTGATCTACTCTTGCCTTTTCCCAATATGAATCTTTGGATTAAATCGGCAATGTTCACTGTAATCGTATTATTCATCAGCCTCACTCCATTGAGATTTCATACTGCTCTCCTTGCTTCCTCTTTTGACTAAAATCTGACGATTCCATTCTTCTGCCACTTTTGCCCCTTTTATGTGGAATAGAAACATCTACTACTTTCCCACACTTCATACATTCCTTTTGTAGCCATCTCCAGTGGATTCTTTGTGGTAGATTGTTGATGAAAATGACTGCCGATTGCTTTTTGCTCTTTCTGCCTTCTTACGAACTCCATTACTTACCTTTATATTTATTACAAGAAAACATTACTATATATATATATATATATTAAAAAAAATCTAATAATTATTTCTATTTTTTATAAAAATTGAGAACTTATTTATTAGTGGTTAAATTTTAAAATTTCAAAATTAAAGGATCAAAATAAAAAATTTTAAAAAATTAAGTGACCGAATTTTTTTAAATTTATATTGTCACAACATCAATGCCGCATGACCAGATCTTCGTTTGAATTTCACCGCACTTTCGATATTAAATTCATTGTATTATCAATTGAATTCAAATGTCAACTTTAATAAGATTAAGTCAACATAAATTTCTTATTAAATTTTTTTTCAATCACAATTACAATAAATTTTTTTTAATTGCAGTTACAGTAATTTTTATTACTACTTTCAACCTCACAACAATTAATTTCATCGTTCATCTAAATGAAAATCTTAATAAATGAGGTGGTAGTGCTATGTAGCACCTGACAACTTACACGGTAATGCCACATCAGCATGTCGTTAGATATTTATGATTGAGTGACAAAAAAAATCTATTTAAATTTAAGTAATTAAATTAAAAATTTAATACTTAAATGAACATTTAGAAAAGATTTCAAAAATTGAGTGATTATTTATGTATTTTACCTCATTATCTAAACTGATATCACTAGGCACTACTTAATATCTTTGTTCTTTTATTGATGCCTAATTAGGAATGCTTCTCTAAAATATTTTTTTAATTGAATTTAATTATAGTTTATATTTGATGTATTGTTAATATATAGATTCTATATACTATCAGTAAATCAAATGATATCATTTCATTAATAAGTAAACATCAACTCTTAAAATAAATATACAAAAAAATAAATAATTTTTTTTAAAAAATTACTAATAAATGAGGAGGTAACATTTGATTTACCTCACTCATAAGATAGTATCATCCGATTCATTAATAATATATAAAAATTATATACTAGCGGTACATCAAATATCAACCTATCTAATTAAAAGTAATATATTTAACATCATTTAATTATTAATGTTTGAACAAATCAAATTCACAAGTTTTATATTAAAAAAAATATAGGACAAGGGAACTTCAAACTTGTTAAGGCTATGGCGCATTTAATGATTCAATCTACATTTAGCTGACAAGGAATGACTCCTAAAGTAACGAGAAAGAAAGAAAAAATAGACCAATCAAATGTATGAATCTGTCCATCATTAATCAAATCAAAATTCTTTGTTGCAATGTTTGATCTCGCAATCTCTTCAGATAAATGTTTCCGGGGTTCTTTGTCATGCTCAAATATGAAACATTCATACATACATGATTTAGATAATGATACTCATGATGCCCCTTATGCATATTCATCAATATTTGAGGCTTGATCGCTCTAGTTCAAGGAATATAAAAAAGGTTTGATGGCACTAGTTCATTTTCTAAGTAGTTTGGGTTATAAAATACGGGAGATCCTACCGTATCAAAGATCATATCATCAATATTTATGCCGTTGGTTAAAAGTCCACCATCACCGATAGTTGTTGTAGTAACACTATGGTCACCTTGGATTGGTCCTGGTGAAATGTTTTTGCGGTTTTGCCAATTGTGAAGTTCATCAATGCAGCGCAATGAAGCGAATTTGGAAGCCATGTTGTTTAAAACTCGAGACGATGTACTCGAACAAGACCTTGCAGGTTCAGATGCATTACCCTCTAGGATGCTTAATGCATCAGATAGATCAGGATACTCGATGTTTGCATCAAAACTAACACCACCGTCATCACTGGCATTTCCATGATCTGCTGACACCGGAGAAAGTACTATATTCAACAAATCTAAGCAATTTAAAGGTGTTGTAAGTGGATCAGAAATATTATCCGGCCAATAATCTGACGTGTCTAGTGCTATTGATGCATTATTTCCCTGACAACTTGATGTAGGGTGGCAAATTGTAGCAGTAGAACTTTCACTATTGGCACCACCATCGTTAGTAGTACTGTTAAATGACATTGTTTGCAATCTTTGACAAGTTCTTACGGGATCAAGATCAACACACTGCAATGTCGTGACCCTACTGGCTAACTTATTGAGCAGTAAAGCTGAAGCTGAAGCGGACCTTGATGATGTTGGCTGTTGCGATGTGGGTTCAGATTCTTTGGATGTTGCATTTTCTTCAAGAATGATCATTGAGTCTGTATTGACCACAGTAGTGTTGGAATTTTCACTGGATGAGGTGCCACGAGCGGTGCCAACAGGCTTGTGAGTCACCGGATCTATACCAAAATTAACTAAGCGTTTCTTGAGATGAGCGTTCCAATAGTTCTTAATCTCATTGTCTGTCCTCTTTGGTAAGTGCCTGGCTATTGCTGCCCACCTTGAAGAAAAAAAATTATATAGGTGAGATTGATCATGACAAAAACCCATAGAGCCAAACACTTAAAGAAAAACATAATTAATCTCTTAAAAGTACAAAAAGGGCAGTGCTGATTCGAAGGATCTCATTCTTCTTTCTTGCTTGAAGGACAAAAATTTGCATCTCATCATATGTAACAATGTAGAACTCAAAATTAACTCATATAATTATCCTCAAGAGATGACATTTATGCATTAATTTTAAATTAACATCTCATCATCTAAAATCCTTTTTCTATCTCTAAATTATGACTTCTTTTTTAAAAAACGACCTATCTTTTATTCCTACGTTATATCTTCTTTTATAAAAAAACAACCGATTTTTCTCATTTGTATCTATACTTTTATTTTTCTAAGAAAATGTTGGATATTATTTTAAGTATGATAATGCAAATATATTCAATGTTCTAGAGAAACCTAAAGTTAAAATAATGAATTTATTTAAAAACATTTTCTTTTAAATTCGCTGTTATTGGTCTAAGATTCTATTTGACTGGATGATGAAATTGATTATAATTAAATTAAAAATAATAATAAAAGTTACCGTAACTATAATTAAAAAAATTATTGTATCTGTAATTGAAAAAAATTAATGAAAAATTAATGTTGATTTGACCTTTAACATTTGGATTCAATTAAAAATATGATAAGTTTAATCACACCACACCGAAAAATGCAGTAAAATCTAAATGGCAACTAAGTTTGGCAAGAATATAGTAATATTTTTGCGTTGGTCAATGAAAAGCTTTGCTGTCACCTGTTGCCTAATGCAGCATGAAGTTCAATGATGGTTTGAGCTTCATCCGAGGTGAAGTCTCCCCTCTTAACACCAGGTCTCAGATAATTTACCCATCTCAGTCTACAGCTCTTCCCACATCTTCGAAGACCTGAAAATCAACAAAGAAACATGATCATTTTCCATAAAATAAAGACAATTGATGCATCAAGTCATGGAAGAACAAAAACAGAAAAGACCTAACCAGCTTTCTTGGGCAGGGAACGCCAACCTCCTTCACCGTGTTTTTGTATGTAAGCTATGAGCTTCTGGTCTTCTTCAGCTGTCCAGGCTCCTCTCTTCAAACCATCTGCACTGCATAATGGAATCCTTCCCATTCTGGGTAAGACAAATTAAGGTGATTTTATGTGACAAAACCAATAACATAAATTCTCAATTTCTTAATTGTTAGAAGAACTTTGGAAATGCTTCCAGGGAAAGTGAATCAGTGATGGAAAGAGTTTGACAGCAACGGCGGCTAGCTTTGCCTTCAATTAGAGTTGAGAGACAGTGGTGAGTTGTTACTGAAGAGACAGAGCTACAAGGGAATCGTTTATATAGAAACTAGAGATAGAGATAAGTGACAAGTATATGTGCCAACAGCCTCGTTTTGATAAAATATTAAACTGTTAATTCTAAGTCTTAAAATTCAAATCTTAAGTCTCATTTATATATATAAAAAAAGAAGTGCACCTAATTCACAACATATTCTGAGGTCCATAATATACATCCGGAATGCCTTCTTTTTATACGTAGTTCCAAATGTGTCAGTCTAAGGTGGGTAAGATCGTTTTAAAATTTCCCATATATCATTTTCATTATTTATTTTTTTCCTATATGTGGACAGTACAGAAGAGCAAGAACCGTGGGCCCCAATCTCGAAAAGGATGACAGCCATTTAGTCAAATTTGAGTTTATAATTCGAAACTTTACCTTCAGGAAATTAGATATAGATTGTCATCATATTGCAAAGGCATTAATTTATGAATTAAAAAAATTTTGATTAAGCTGTATGGATCATGATCGTTATATTAATAAACTATGTTTATCCAAAAGCTAATTAATATTTAATTATAATGCAAAAGAGTGATGCCATGTCTCAATCGTCATTATCCACACATCAACTTTTATTTCAATTGTTTAATGATTAAAAAATTACAACTTATGGTTTAAAACCATAAAAATCATAAATTATGATTCTTTGAAAATCACCCATCGTCTAAATCTTAACGTGAGACATAAGTTTGAATGTTTGAATGGTATTAGGTACATGACTTTTAAGTGAAAAAAAAAATTACTTCAACAACCGTACACGTAATGAGATGCTTGGCTCCTTGCTAATTTAGATATAAACAAAGAGAATTGTGTTTTCACTGGACTTTCACTGTTATGGTTTTTTCATTTTATTTTATATTGTGTTCCTTTATCTTTTATTTATGTTGGCTTAATGGGTTAAAATATTCAATTGCCGCTACCTAAAAAATTTTAATAAATTATTGGATTAGTAGGTCACAGTATTTTGAGTTTTATTTAGGTTAAAATATGATGAATTGGACTTTAATAAGTTTTTATTTTTTAAAAAAAAGAATGCGATGTTTGTGTGATGTTAGATTGTAATTGACTATTTTTTATAAATTTTGAATTTTTATTGTTTATTATTTACAATAAAATAACATAAAATAAAATAATAAAAATACAATAATAATGTTAAATTTAAATATAAAAAGATTAAAAACTAAAATTAAAAATTAAGTTATTTTGCTTTTTTCTTTCTTCTATTTTAGATATTTTTATAAAAAGTTTGTAATTTATAAAAATAAAAATAAAAATATACATTAGATCAAATAAATAATAAAAAATAAAAATCATAACATAACATGAAAAAATAAAAAATAATAATTGCAATATATGAAATACTATATATTTTTAATTTTCTTATTTTTATAATATTTTATTGTTTTATTTGTTTTTACTTTTATATTAAAATAATTAGTCTAACCAATATAACAGGAAACTACTTCTAGTATCTAATTAAAAATTGTACTTTTTTCACCATTATTTTAGATGGAATGTGACATAAAAAAAGTAATTAAATTTTTTTCACATATTCTCTTAATAAACAAATAATAAATTATTAATTATAATAAAATAGTAGCTATATTTATTTTTAAATAGCTTATTATCATATATATATATATACAATAAGTAATTTATTTTTATAACTAAATTAATAAATGAATGACTCCCTCATTACTGGCATTTGATCTTTATGAAAATAATTCAAAACCTATGTACTTTATATAGTTGGGTTGTGGATTATGGTGTTTCCTATTTATAAAATTGTAGAATTGCATTTAAATTAAATAGCAGTTTATACTTATTAATCAAACTAATTTAATTTGACTTTTATTGTTTGTTTTTATATTTAAAATTATCATTGCATTGCATATTGACAGGATGATATTTGATATTAAAGCCTTTACAACTTTTATTTGGCTTAGAAATTTTTTTTTTCAAATCTTATATACTAACATGCTGATATATACTTGAATTTTATTATTATTTAAACAATTTATGGCTTATTAATTTATTACTATTAATATCCATTAATAATTAACATCAATTAATTAAATTATTTTCTATTAGACTCTTATTGAGACGCAATATTATAATTTTAATATGAAAAGAAATTAGTATACCACTAACAAATTCTCCATGCTGATGGCTTAATCTTTCTAATGGGAAAATTATTAGGCAATAAAAGAAGTAAAAAAATAAAATCAAAAGTTCAATAAATTGCATGATGCTAATAATATGGAATCTTTGAACAGTGCTAAATTAGTCAATACAAATGTTGAAAGAAATTCATTAAATCTTAATATATATGTTCGGTGTCGAAGAAGAAAACTATGAATATGATTATAATGAATTTATATTTTTATGAAGATGATAGATAAATCTAATAAGTGAAGTTGAGGTATATGGTGATGATTATAATATATTATTTAAACTTTTTTGTAGCTTCAGATCAAAATTTTTGTTAATTATAAATCTTTTATTTTTATATTGTTTTTAATATTGTGTCAAATTTATGTTAAATTTTAAATATATATTAAAATACTAACATTAGTGATGAATTTTCAATATTAGTAGTTTGAATATATTTATATTTGAAAAACTTTTACAATTGTTATTAAAATAAAAAAAAATTTTGATGATAAACAAATTGTTATTGCAATCAAAAATAATTTCTTAAATTTGTCAATGTAAATGATGAGAAATCAATTTTCAGTCATTATAGTTTTTTTAATAATGATTATTTTAATTGTCACATTGATAAATTTATTATTGTAATGACAAACAGTCACCATTAAAATGTTATATTTAATAGTGACAAATTTGTCTAAACAAAAAGTAAAATATATGTGACATAATTTTTCTTGTTGCATCAATGTCTAATAGACCGCTTCACATGTCATCATATTTGCTGTTAATTTTTATATTTTATCAGTAATTATTCTATAATAACAAATAATTTTGCATCACAAAAACATAATTATAATAATGATTTAATTGCAAAAAAAATTTAAACCATTACAATTACAATTATAATAGTAACCAAATAATAATGTCATAATTATTTATTGTAATAGTGTCAAGGAAAAATTTCATCATAAAAAATTTAATATATGTGATTAAATTGCTCATGTCACATAATTATTGACTAAATTTACATGAATTAAACATTTATTTTTGTTTTAATTTAAAAAAGAGAATATTCAAATACTACTGTTTTACTAAGGGATACATACACCTATTATTTATACCTATTATTAAATCAAAGGCTCATCAAATAGAACGGAACAAATGTTTAATTAATTTTCGGGGTCACATGAAAATATATACAATTTATGTGAATATGCGTTAAAACCCATAACCACTTAAAATTTGGAATTTTCCTACACAGCTGTCAGCTGTTTTAGATTTGAAGAATGAAAGGGTTCAAGGATGAACAGTGACTTGTTTTTCTCTCTCTAGGACTTTACATACATGCGTTATCATTCAATGGCCCCTGTATCTTTGTTTCTTTAGGCATTTTCTTCAAATCCTGATTGGTGGGCAGAAAAGTGGGACTTTATATCCTTCCCCATTTTTACTGCCTTAATAAAATAATAAAAAAAGGGCACTCTCGAATTCTGGTAGTAAACAGTGTTAAGTTTTGATTCTTCTCGGTGTTCAAATGAATAAAATTGAAGAAATATCGTCCCCTAGGGTACTTTGAAAAAGGAAGAAATTACAAATATTTGTGAAAAATGCGAAAGAAATGCAAAGTTAGATGAATTCATGTATATATAGAATTGATAATTTGTGTATTAGTAACCTTTAACATATTAATAATTTATATATTTATGTATATATTATTTTATATAAAAATCATATATAATAATTTGTATCAATACAAAAAATAAAAAATAAAATTTTAATTTTTTCAAACTGGTATATGATATTTTGAAAAAGGAATAAATTATAATATTTTTAAAAAATATGAAAGAAATGCAAAGTTAGATGAAATCATGTATATATAAAGCAGACAATTCATGTATTAATATTATGTAAAATATTAATAATTTGTGTATTCATATATATATTATATTTTATATAAAAATTATATGTCATTATTTGCATTAATATGAAAGATAAAAAATACAATTTTGATTTTACTAAACTCATATATGATATTTGTTAAAATTTAAATAATATTACTTTATTTTTTATATCATTTTTGTATCATGTTATTTTATTATATTTTGAATTGGTATATCATACTTGTCTCTCTATCCTCAAAACCTGTATTTTCCAACAAGTAAGGTTAAAATGTTGATAAATAAATTAATAAATTTATATATTAAATCTATTTGTTCATGAAATTATCTTTAAAATTTAATATTAAATAAATTTAGGATTTAAATCCAATCACATGTAATCTAGTTCATATTTTCTAATTACCATCGTACTTACAAAAAATTAATAAATAAATTAATTATTAAAAAAACAGATGAGAATTAATTATATTTGACTATTTTTTATCATAATATTTGCATTCTCATACATGCGTGTGATTGTTGAATAAATTTAAAAATAAAATATATTTTAGATAAATTAAATAATTCGTAAATAAATATTATAGACAAATCATTAAATTTATACGGCTTCATCAGAACAAAAGTGTTGAAATGAATAGTATTTTGTTATAGAATAATAAATCTTCAATGAAATTTCTTCTAGCAATGAAGTCAATAATGTGTTCACACCTAAACACCTGACAGTAAGAAGTTAGAACCTGAAATTAATAAAATATAATTTAGAAATTTCACATTCACAAGCAATAAAGACATGTTTGAGTGACGTGTGTTCCATTTTCCTAGCAAATATGGCCAACAAATGAAATGTGCAAACAATGTTTTTTAATGCTAAAGGCTTAGAAAATTTTCTACTCATAATTGGATT